CCGCTGTCGCTGTCGCAGCCCGAATTTCAAGAGCTGGAATTTCAGCTGGAATTTCACCTGGAATTCCCCGCTCGGGATCAGTAATTCCAGCGCTTCCCGGAGCGGTAGGAATTGCAGGGATGAGTCCATTGCGAGGAATAAGTGTAGGAATATTTAGGGGCGCAACGAGGCTCGGCTCGGGCCAGCGCCGGAGTCGCCACTTTGTCCTCCAACCTGGCCGTGACCTCTGAAGCCAGAGGGGCTGTGGCCACCGAGGACTCGCCCAGGGCAACCTCCGAGGGCTCCGAGGATCCCACCACGGTTTGTTGAGGGTACGTGGTGAGGATGGGCCCCGGGAAGGTGACGACCACGGGAGGGGGGTAGATGATGACCCGAGAGTCGCCGCAGGTCACCACGCAGGGCTCGTTGGTGCTGCTGGCCAGAGGTTGGGGACACTTGGGCTCGCACGGGGTGGCACAGGCCAGTTGGGTGGAAGCCATCGCCAGGAGAGAGCCTGCAAGGAATTCCCGGAGTTAAAAAAAAAAAAAAAACAAAACAAAAAAGCCACAAATAAAGCTCCAAAGTCGGACAAAAACTCCTCCCAGCTCTTGGTTATTGATATTTGGGTCTAAGGTTAAGTTAATTTGGATAGAGATGGAAATCGAGCTCCTGGTTATTGATATTTGGGTCTAAGGTTAAATTAATTTGGATAGAGATAGAAATGGAGCTCCTGGTTATTGATATTTGGGTCTCGGGTTAAATTAATTTGGATAGAGATAGAAATGGAGCTCCTGGTTATCGATATTTGGCTCTAAGAGATCATTAGAGGTAATCAAGATAGAGACAGAAATTGAGTTATTGATTATTGATATTTGGCTCTAAGGTTAAGTTAATTGGGATAGAGATAGAAATTCAACTCTTGATTATCGATATTTGGCTCTAAGGTAAAAGTAATTTGGATAGAGACAGAAATTGAGTTATTGATTATCGATATTTGGCTCTAAGGTAAAAGTAATTTGGATAGAGACAGAAATTCAGCTCTTGGTTATCGATATTTGGATCTAAGAGATCGTTAGAGATAATTGCGATAGAGACAGAACTTGAGCTCTTAATTATTGATATTTGGTTCTGAGGTAGAGATAATTGAGATAGAGACAAAATTTGAGTTTTTGGTTATTGATAATTGGCTCCAAGAGATCGGCAGAGATAATTGATACAAAGACAAGAGTCCAGCGAGTGTTTATGGATATTTTAAGAGATAATTCGGGCGGGATCAAAAGTTAATCGCTTGTTTGGTGACATTTGGCTCTAAGAGATAAAGCCACGAGCCGAGCCCTTGGTTATTGATATTTGGCTCTAAGCGGTGGTTAAACATAATTTTATAAAGATATTTAATTGAGATAAAGACACGAAACCGAGGGCTTTTTATTGGCATTTCTTTCTGAGATCTCGTCAGCGATAACTCGGAAAAATGCAAGAATTGAGCACTTGGCTGTTGATATTTTATTTTGGGATCTTTTTAGGGATAACTTGGATAAAGAAATGAATTGATCTATTGGCTAATTGACATTTTCTTTTAGGATATTATGAGGAGTAATTTAAATAAAGACAAGAGTTGATTTATTGATTATTGACATTTCATTTTAGGATCTTGTCAGGGATAATTTTGATAAAGACAAAAATTAATCTCTTGATTATTGATATTTGGCTTTGGGGGATCCTCAGAGAGAATTTGGATGCGGTTTTATCTCCCATCTTTTATTTCCTCGCCCCGATTTGTTCTGAATTCCTGCTGGGAATTAAAATTTTCCTCTTTTTCTCCTCCTCTTTTCCTTCCTCGCCGCCTCCCAACGCCGGCCCTGCCCCAAACCCTCCCGGCCCTTTGGAGGAATTCCCGAGGACGCGCTGGAACTCGTTCCCACAGCGCCTCTGTTCCTCCCACACAGGGAAAAATAAAACAAAACCCCCCCCAAAAAAAGAAAAAAAATCCGGATTTTCCACCTATTTCAGCTCGGGATAATCAGTTTAGCGCCCTGCTTAATTTTTGTATTATTTTCTTTGCAGATTCCAGGAAAATATTCTGCTAAAACACAGAGGAAAAAAAAATCCCAAAGTCTGAGAATAAGTGGGAGTGTTAAGCGCTGGTTTAATAAGTGAAACATATAATTAAAATATTTATATAATAGATATTAAAATATTTCTCTGGTGATATAATCAACCCAAATAAGAAAATTACGCTTTCACCTAGGGGAAATTTATTTAATAATGTTTATTTCTTGAGGTTAAATCCTCACATAAAAGCCTGGCGTAGCATCGGGAGGGTTTTTAAAGCTTGTAAATCAAATTTATCCTTCTGATAATTAAAAGAAAAAAAAAAAAAAGAAAAAAAAATGCAGGGCATTGACCTAGAGGAACGCGGAATTTCATCTCGGTAAAAGCGTTTTAGGATTTTAGATGAGTTTGAAGCGTTAGAAATGAAAGTTATTGGCGCAGTTAATAATCCATAATCATCGCTTGGTTTAGCTCGATGCGGCTTTAATTAAATTAAGGATGGGCTGAGGCAAACACGTCTGGAGCTGCACCGAGCTCTCCTCCAAGCGGGAATTTCCAGAGTTTTCCATGAATTTTTCACTCTGGATCTTGCCATCCACACCAAACCTCTCCCCGATCGCGCCTCACCATCCAACGCGAATTTAAATCCATTCCCAAAACTTCCCCAATTATTTTTTTTTTCGAGAATTAAGGGACTGAAATCTCTCATTCTCCCATGAATTCAAAACCCCAACCCCGCTTTGATTTTTTGCACCCTTTGGCCCAAGCACGAAAACCACTCCTAAAATCCCTCAGATCCAGAATATTTCTGCAGAAAAATTCAGCCCCGATTTGGAGGAGAAATCCA